CAGATGGTGCGTCTGGCAGCACTTGCTTAAATATTTATTTCTGTGTGGGTTTCCTCCCCCCTTATAATTGGGGTGGGTTTTTTTTTTTCTTCCTTCTTTCACATCATCGTTACAGGGTAATGAGTCTGTAAACACTCTCTAAGCATGCTGATTTCTTTATTTATTATTTTTATTATTATTTATTTATCTTGGTTTTTCTTTCTAACTCTTGCCAGATCGAGACTAGTTCTTTCTGTCCAAAAAAAAAGTGAACGGATTAAAGTAAGGGAAGAGGGAGGGGGTTGTTCTTGTGAAAATGAATCTATGTGCCTGTATGACCAATTTAGGAGTTTGGATTTGCATATCAATGTGATTAAATGGTCTGCGAGTTTCCTTGTTTCAGGTGTGTGTGTGTTTGTGTCTGATCATGTGTGTGGAAATTGTGGGTACGCTCATGTAAATTAAGAGGGGTGTTGATGTACATAAGAGTATGTGCATGTAAATGTGTGCGTGTGTATGCGTGTAAGTGTGTGGTAAGCTTTCCTGTTATGAAAAAGCTAAACAGATGCTGTGCTTTAAAAATTAATAGCTTTGAACTGTTTCAAGTGTCAGAAGAAACACAGGATAAATATAACCCTTTAGGAGCCTAACCTTACAGACTGAAAGAGCAGAATTTCCCCTTTGTGCTGTGTTTGCTGCTTCCCTCCTTCCCCAAGCACATGGTTTGGTAGAACGCTTGCCTCTCCCTTCCTGCACTGTAGACACCACACACACACACCTTTCCGTGGCACGTGGAAGGGAGGGTAGGAGTTTGAAGTGCTAGAGTGCTTGTTTAGCTGTTGCTTTTAAAGCTGAGCCTGAGAGTTACTCCTGCTAGGAGGCTTCAAGTAACTTACCCCATACAGTCAGATCTCTTTGGTGTCTGACCCTTCTTTTACTGCAGTTGGCATCTCTGGTCATTTTGCATCCTCACTTTCGATAGTATTTTGGACTGCTTTGCTTCAAAGGTGTACATTTGTCAACAAGGTCTTTATCTTCCTCCGCTCTGCCTGGCCTGTGCTGTGCAGTTTTCCAGCCCTGCACAGCCCTTTGCTCTCTCTTGCTCATCTCATCAGTGGAACAGGGAGGAAGCTTTCCACAGAGCAGTTTCTTTCCTTTAAAGCTGCTGATGGTGCTGCTGACATAAAGCCCTGGACTAGCAGGACCAGTTCATTCGATCTGCTGCTGCTGAGCTCCATGTACCTGGTTAATGCCATGGTGACTCAGGCTGCTGCCTGTGCCCTGTTCTAGCCTCACAGTTGCCCAGACATTGAGCAGGAATCGCTTCCTCTGCTTTCAGTTCCACACCTTTGTTTGTGCAGCCAGCCTTGCTGTTTGCCTTGTGGTTTGTTTCTTCTCTGCTGCTGAGGTTTGTTCCAGTTTCTCAATCACCTGTTCTGACGTGATTCTGATTTCCTGCAGTGTTTCTTCTCCTTCCCCAGGGAAAGGCATGTCTGCTCCTGGCATCTGTCCCTGTCTCCCTTTGTGAATGCTGAGGCAAAGAAGTCATTTAATTTTTTAGCAATGTCTATCTTTTCTGTCAATTAAGTCCCCTTTCCATCTCCTAGAGGCCCTGCTGTCTCCACAGTTGACCTCCTCTTCCTTACTGTGCTTCAGAAATGCCTTATTTAGTACTACTTTTCATCCCAACTTTTTCTATCCTGTAGCTTAGTGTTACCTCACCTTATGATGATCCATAATCTTACCTGCTCCTGCCCCATTCCTTGATTGCCCCGGCACACTCACTCCTCTCATTTTTCCTTTTTACCCGTTGCCCTTCCTTGTTTCTTTCCCATGCCCTTTATCATATACACGCCTGCTGTGTTTAGCACTAAGTGACGTGAGGAACCTTTGAGCAGATGGTACTTTATCTTTGAATGTTTCCCCTCTGAGTCCCCTTCTCTTCACTGCTTTTCCCTTTCAAGCTCTTCAGCTCTTCCAGGGTCCTCTAGAATATACATCAGAGAGTTCATTGCACTGATTAGTCCGTTACTGGATTGTCCCCTTTTGCCAACTACTGATGTGTCCATCTTGTCAATACTTTCTATGTACTGTCTGTTTGTATGTAGATATTATATAGCCTTTCTGGGTTTTTTTCCAGCCTGTATATGTCAGGGGTTTCCAGATTTGCTGTGTGGAAAGCTCAGTGGTGGCCTGCAAAAATGGATGAGGTGCATGTTGTTGGCTGTTGCTTCTTGTGTCCTACTTTTAATTGCACTCAAAAGCGGGCTGAAAACCCTGTTCTTTTGCATTGCGCTATTTTTTGTTATGAGCAAATACTGTATCCACATGGAAAATAACGATTAGCAGGGCTGTTGTGCCTGGGAGAAGATGTGCACACGGGGTCGAGATGGTCTGCCTGTAACACTTTGTTCTGTTCCTGATGATCCATCTCACCTATCTTCCCATTGATCTGTCCATCGTATTGAAAGCTCCTCTATAAGCTTGCCATGATCATCTTCTACTTGTATGGCTTACCATCTAATCCACCGGTTTGAAATCTTCTCTGTAGTGTGACACCATACTGTGATTAAAAAAAAGTCTTGAGACATAACTCATACAAACGAACGAATGCCTGAGCTTTTCTGAGGTGCTACTAAATGGGTATACCTAAAATTTAGAATCCGTATTTGACCAATGTTTATTTGTCTCCTTCTGGCATGGGAGGTTTCTGAAACTCACTGCTGTGGTGTCTAAACTCACACATGAGAATTTTTTAGAATTGTATGATACTTAATTCAAGGAACTCTCCTTTCTTACTCTTCCCCAAGTAAGCAATGTAGATAATGGAGATGAATTTCCAAGGGAAAGACGGATTAGGGATGTACAAGACCTGAATGATCCTGCTCAAGAAGCACATTTAAATAGTGACAAATAAAAAGAGGAAGGCGGGAGGGTCACTGTCCTTGGAGGGGATAAAGGAGATGAGGTTTAATGCCAGAAACGTGTGGAATGAAAGCAGGCCTGGGACTTAACTTTATTTGGACCTTGCTTATAGACACTACTGTCAGGACACTGTTTCATTCTCTCTCCCTTTCTTTCTTCTGTCCTCCTCTCGTGTTTGCAGGTTCTCTGGCAGTCAGCACTGTGGACATATACACTGTGCATACCAGTATCGAGAACATTACCACTGCCTTGACCCAGAGTGCAACTACCAGGTAAAAGGATGGTAAAAAGTTATCAGCACAGCTACCTGAATGTAAAGGAGTACAACCTAGAGGAGATGCGTGTCCTCCTGTGCTTTCCTCCCCCATGTATGCACATAGCTCTTCACTTTTCCACTCTGAAAGAGAGCAAGATATATTTTGAACTTACTAGAATCCTATTTTGTTCCCATTTAACCCAATCTAGCACCATTTAACCAAACCCAGACCACTATAACGAAGAGCAGAATATAGATCAGCTCAAGTCAGTGGGAACTACTCCAGATTTATATCAGTGAAACCAAGAGAATAAATTCTGCTGTGTTACTAATTGTGCCTGAAACTAGGGAATGCTGATCTGTTAGTCTGTCTATTTCCCTCCTGCTGCCCGAGTGACATTGTAGCAGCAGTATCTGCAACAAAACACCCAATAAGACCAGCAGCAGTCCTGGATTTGTGGGGAAAGCATGGGGGCAGGAGCATGTGCGATGCTGTAATTACTGGGAGAACTGCCAGGGTAGGGACGTCAAGCCAGCTGAGTCACGTGCTGTGTTTGTTTACCCTCTTTGCAGGTCTGTGAGTTTGACACTGCCATTTCTGTGGTCAGGCTGCATGTGTGTTAAGTGGAATCCCAGAGCTTGCCTCTACTGTGCATCAGACACAACTTCAGCTCTACCCCAGGAGACCTTTGGGTCTTAAAGGAATGAGTCTGACCACAGCATAGGAAGTTGATCTGGACCTGCTGAGCTTGACTGTGGGTTTCTATTGATCAAAGGAGAGTTTGTCTCTGGGATGCACATAGTGGTCCTCCTAGCCCAGCATTTCACAATTGAGATGAGTCTGTCCCAACTGTGACACGGATATCTCTGCACCAGAAAGAGAGAAACACAAAGGATGGAAAGACAGAGAAACCTATTATGATGATTGGCCTCATGATTATTTCCTAAGGAGTCTGGAAGCTGCTTGCAAAGGAGCTGTCTGGTCTCGCAGGGAATAAGGATTTAGGCTGCTTTTTAAAATGCAAATTATTTTATGGCTGAGATATATTTTAGAATAAGTAACGCTCTGTAATAAGTGGGCACAAATTAACGATGATTGGCAATAGCAATCCTGTATGCACGCCCTGGGAAATCATACCTCCAGCCTCCAAGGGATTCCTGTTGAAATCTATATCCATATATTCCCGTGCCAATACCAACAAGATTGATCAGGA